GGTGTGTGGTATGTGTATGTGTGTGTGTTTGTGTATATGATGCATGTATATGATGTGCGGTGTGTGTATGTGTGTGTGGTGTGTGTGTGTGTTTGTGTATCTGATGTATGGTGTGTGTGTGTGCACGCAGGTACCAGAAGAGGGTAATGAATCCCCGGGAGTTGGAAGTTATAGGTGGTTATGAGTTGCTTGACTATTTCTGTGCCGGGAACGAACTCAGGTCCTTAGGAACAGCATCAAGTACCCTTTAACCTCTGGGCCACATTCTAGGTCCAAGCTGCCGCTGCTGGAATGTGTCCTGTGCTCTTGCAGCACTGGGAGCCCCAGAGGTTTGTACTCCGCTACTCCTATTAGAACCACCCACCTTTTGCAGAAGTCTTCGTCCATGGCTCAAAGTCCCCACCACAAACATTGCATCCTTCCTGCTGCCCCCACCCTCTCTGCCACCCCACACCTCTCAGTACTGGCACACCCCTGAGTGGTGAATACCTTTTACCCAGCACTCTTCTAAGCTCTGGAACTCGTCTACATGCTGAGAGGCCAGCTGTGAACCTAGCGAGAAAGAATCCTACGCTTCTGAAGTTTGAATGGACAGAGGACGTGGGGGTTCAGACTAAGTAAAATGTAGAGCTCTAAGTGCAAAGACAAAAACAAAGCAGGGGGCAGTGAGATGGGTCAGTGGGTGAAGGTGACTGCCACCAAGCCTGTTGCCCTTGGGACCTACAAGGTAGAAGAAAAGACTGACTTCTGAAACTTGTCCTCTGACTGTCACATGTGCTCTGTGGCACGTTTACACACACACACACACAAGTAAATAAATGTAATTTGAAAAATTAAAACCAAATAAAACAAAAACAGGGAAGGAGAACAGGAAGAGAAGGGGAAATTGTAAGAGATCTTTTATTTTGTTTTTGAGACCAAGTGTCATGTATCACAGCCTGGGCTTGAACTCCTTATATAGCTGAGGATGACACTGAACTTTTGATCTTCTTGGTTCTGCCTCTCACGTGCTGGGATTAAAGGTATGTTTGAACATGCAGTACTGGGGACTAAATCCAGGCTTTCATGCATGCAGTGCAAGCTCTCCAATAACCAAGCTATACCCCCAGCTTGTTTGAACTTCAGCACAGGAACTGTGCCTTAATCTACTGTCTCAGCCAGCAATTGCAACTCCACAGTTACCGACCTGCTTCTCTAGCAACCACCTGGCCACTCAGGCTGCAGCCTGTGGGAATTCTGTTCCTGCGGACACTGGCTGTTGCTTCTGCTAAAGGAAGCCTTAACTGAATCTCAAGATTCAAAGGCTGGGGTGAAAACCTGCTAGCTCAGAGAGGCTGGGTCGCAACAAGCTAGCCTTCTATTCTTGCTGGTGTCTCTGAAAGACCCACGCTTCCGCTCAGCTAAACCAGAAAAAGCTACACCATTCCAAATCCCTCCCTACTATTCCTGTATCTTTCTATCTCTCCTGAATGCCTTCTGATGCTCTATGATTACTTTCTGTCAACTAGTTGCTAATTCATCCTCCTAAACCCAAAGTTAATTTTATTTAATCAATACAAATGCAAACTCAAGTTTCACAGTGTGATTGACTATCCCCCAACACCAGCTCCTGAAAGACTTCCTGACAGTGTGTAGTATGGAAAAGTAAAGTGCTCAACTTGTGTTGGCTAGGCAGAGTTTATCATCATTTCCCCCTCCTCCCCCCCTTTTCTCCCTCCTCCTCCTCCTCCTCATCTCCCTCCTCCCCCTCTTCCTCCTCCTCCTCCTCCTTTTCTTCTTCTTCTTTGTCTTCTTCTTCTTCTTTTTTTCTTCTCCTTCTTCTTTTTCTTCATGATGAGGATTGAACTTCATCCCTAGTCCTGGGCAAAGTCTTGAAGCTGGAGGATAAAGATTTAGTGTGACTGGGGAGAGGGTAAACAAAGAAGATAGTTTCAAGGGAGCGTCAGAGACCGGACTTTGCGCTGTTTCTTTGAGACGGAAGCCACTGCTGTGATTTGAGCAGAACTATGGCATGATCTTGTCCTGGCAGGAATTCACGCCAGGTGCCAAAGAGGTTACAGCTACAATCCAGGGGAGAGGTGAGGAGGGTGATCAAGGCAGGATGGACAATCAGGTGGGGAAGGATCAAAGAGAATGGCATGATACGATGTAGACTTGAGCTGCAAGGTCATGGAGGAAGCTCAACAGGTAAAGGTGGCTGCTGTGCAAGCCCGACAAACTGAGGCCAATTTCTAAAACCCATTTAAAGATGAAGGGAAATGCCACTAAGTTGTCCTCTGACCTCCAGGTTGCACTGTGGCAATCATGCCTAACCCCCACACAAATCACACACACACACACACACACACACACACATCATTTGTGTTGAAATTCAAAAACTTAGGTCTGAGCTACAGGAAGGATGTTGGTGTTTGGAACAGAGACAGCGAAGCCTGGAAGTGGTGATCAGGATGTGGACTACTGAGCAGGTAGCTGGATATGCAAATCTAGGGAGATGACTCAGACTGGTCCATTCAGCATCGCTAGTATAAAGATGAGAGCCCATCAAAGCCTTGAGAACCAAGGAATCACTCAGCTTCAAGGAAGGGGCATCCACCAAGTTAATTGCTAATGATGACTCTAGAATAAAACGAAGCTGAGCAGGAAATGGGGCAATACCAGATTCCATTAGATATGTAAAGTACAAACATGGGGACTGTGGCTCAGTTGGCTGAGTGCTTGCTTAACATTTGTGAAGCCCTGGGTTCAGTCCCCATCACTTGTCAATGGGGCACAGTGGTGCATACCTGTTATCTCAGCGTTCTAGAGGTGGAGGCAAGAGGATCATAGGTTCAAGGTCATCTTTGACTATATAACGGATTTGAGAGTACGGTCTTAACCTCTCCTTAAAAGTACAGTCCAAAAGTGTTCCCAAAGGCATAGTAAGGGCTAACTAGCAGCACATGAGCCAGAAACTAAACAGTTTTAAGTCATGGGAACACCAAACAAGAAATGGAAGGATACAGCATCTTTCTTTTTAAAAAAATTTATTTTTATGTGTATATGTATATTTACATGTGTTTATATGAACTGTGTGTGGCAGCTCCCACAGAGACCAGAAGAGGGCATCAGATCCATTGGAACTGGAGCTTCAGATGGCTGTGAGCTGCATGTGGGTGCTGGGACCAGGACTCAGGTCCTCTGGAAGCACTTTAAGCACTGAGCCATCATCTCTCCAGCCTCAAACGTGGTAAGGTTTTTGTTTGTTTGTTTCTTTGCTTTGTTTTGTCTTTTCAAGACAGTCCTGGCTGACCTGGAACTCACTTTGTAGACCAGGCTGACCTTCAAAGAGATGCGCCTGTCTCTGCCTCCAGAGTGCTGGGATTAAAAGCATGAGCCACCACTATCCATAGGTTCTTGGTTTTGGTTGGTTTTTTTTTCTTTTATAAAAAGATTTATTTATTTTTTATGTATTGATGTTTTGCCTACATGTCTGTCTGTGTAAGAATGTCAAATCCCCTAGATCTGGAGTTACAGACAGTTGTGAACTGCCATATGGGTGCTGGGAATTGAATCCAGAGCCTTTGGAAAAGTAGCCAGGGCTCTTAACCACTGAGCCATCTCTCTAGCCCCTTGGTTTTGTTTTTTAAGATTCGTTTTATTATTTTAAATTGTATATAATTGTGTGTCTGCCTGTAGGTACAGGTGTCACAGAGGCCAAAGGTATCAGAACTCCCGGAGCGAGAGTTACAGAATAATGTGAGCTGCCCGAGTGGGTGCTGGAACCCAAACCTAGGTCCTCTGCAAACGCAATAAGCACTCCGATCAGTGATCCATCTCTTCAGTCTCAGATGCGGCATTTTAAACAGCCATTGTGTGTGCATTCCTCTCCCCAGTCCAGCCTGACAATTGATTTCCCAGCTTCAGACATTGAGGCAAGTGACCTGGCTATGTCAATTAGAGAAATGTGGAGAAGAGGCAGTCCTGAAAATGAGAACCACACAATGGGATTGAAAAGGTGAAGAGGACCCAACACCACGGGGGCAGGCCCTGCACCTGCTGCTTTAAGCCTCCTACCCTTAGAAAGTCCACCCTCAAAGCCCCAGTATTTCCAGCCTGCAGGTGGGTAAAATGGGAGCAAGCAAGTCTTCATTGTCCCTCAGAGAGGCGGAACACAGTCCGGACTGGGTTGGCAACTGAGGAGGAAGGAAGGAAGACAAGAGAACTCTCAGCTTGAGATGACAGAGGTAGAGGGGACAAGGGACTGTGGTATCTCCAGTGGGTCTGTTGGTACAACCTGTGGAGAAGCTAAGCAGGATTCAGGTCAAGAAGACGTGAAGTGGAAAAAGACAGGGCTCAATGAATTGGCCTCCACTGAGCCTAGAACAGAGATGGAGGAGACCCCGAGGTAGGGTCATGGCAAGGATAAGATCCAGAGGCTCAGGTGAAAAGATGAACAGAAAGAAGGCAGAGGTGACCACGAGGGAGAGCAGAAGGCACCGCGTGCAGAGTGGGGCGCAGGAGCAGTTCGGTGGTGCCCAGGCGTGGGGTTCTCTGTGGGGCAGGGTGGTCACACTGGCGGGGCGCCCCCGCGTGGGCCGCTCGCCCAAGATGGCGATGG